TGACATTTGGTACCAGAGCCATCCGATCCATCGCTTTTTCGGGTTCATAAAATCCCGTCGCCGACGGTTGAATCCCGAACAGCAGCGAGGTCGTACGCCGAATCCCCCGCATCTCCACCGCCAGATCCGCCCTCGTCGCCGTTCAACTTATCCACCACCTCCTTCCCCCACCTCCATCCTCGCCGATTCCACTACGCCGGCAAGTTTTCCACCCTGCCGATCCATTGTCCTTCCGTTTCCCCATCGATTTCCAGCTTCCCGTCGATCCGCCACCACTGCCATCCAAGCCAACCCACTCACTGGCGCGCAAACCCAAACCCCCAACCCTCACCTCCCGAATGGCGACAGCCGAAGAAAAGCTAGATGCGCTCAGCGCGCAGATGAAGTCCATGCTCCTGCTCATGGAGTCCTTCAATCGCTGGCGTCCTAAGGTCGATCATTCATCCACTGAGCTGACCATGGAGATCAAGACTCTCACGTCGCGCGTGGAGGCGTTGGAAGCGCACAACGCTCCGCCATCGGCCCCGAAGCGCGAGGAAGAGGGGCGGGCCGCGGGCCTCGGCGCTGCAACATCACCACAGGGGCATGATGGGGGGACTCTGGTCCTCACTCATCCCCTGGCCAATGGTCAGTCATCCACCCCTAATTTTCCAGTTCATTATCATGCTGCGCCTACCTCCAATGAATGTTGTTTGCCTAAGGCCCAGTTTCCCAAATTTGATGGGTCTCATCCAAAAGTCTGGAAAGAAAAAGCGGAAAAATATTTTGACATGTTCAATGTTCCTGTGCATCGTTGGGCTCAGTATGGCACCCTTCATTTCAAAGGGCATGCTGCTTTATGGTTACAAACTTACGAAGCACAGCATGGGGTAGATAACTGGGTTGAACTTTGTCTTGCTATTGAGTCCAAATTTGGCAAAGATCTCTATCACAACTCTATGCTAGAATTATTGAGCATTAAGCAAACCTCTGATGTTCAGGAATATTATGATAGATTCCAAACTATCATGCATAAAGTGCTGGTCCATAACAATCAATTAGATGATGTTTTCTTTGTTAGCAAATTCCTTCAAGGGCTGCATCCTGACATAAGAGCTACTATTGTTTTACATAAACCGAGAACAGTTGATGTGGCTTTGTCACTGGCTCTTATGTAGGCTGAGGTGTTGGAGTCTCAACCCAAGTACTTTGGCAAGCGCCATTATCGAGAGTACAACAAATTTCCAGCCAAGCCACCTCAGGCAGTAGCACCTGGTATTCTGGGCGCCCCTCCAGCTGAAGAAGCTAAACCCAAGTGGGAGGACAAATGGACTACACTCAGAGCTCAGCGTCGTGCTCAAGGCTTATGCATGAAGTGTGGTGAGAAATGGGGCCGGAATCATAAATGCCCTAACAAGGTGTCCCTCCATATCCTAGAGGAAGTTATGGACCTCTTTCCAGAAGCCAGCAAGTCTGAGCCAACCTCTGAAGAATCCAGTGATGACGAGGTCTTTTCCTTATCTCAAGCTGCAATAGTGGGGGTACAAGGCAAGAAAACCATCAAAATCACAGGCTTGGTCAATAGTCAGGAAATTTTGATATTGATTGACTCAGGCAGTTCCAGCTCCTTCCTCAGTCAGAAGACTGCCGACACCTTAAAGTGTGATCTTACATTAGCTCCTCCTGTAACAGTCACAGTGGCTAATGGTGAAAAGATTCTGAGCCAACAGCAGGTCCTCAATTTCACTTGGTGGACTCAGGGGCATACTTTCTCTACCAATGTCCGCATTCTTCCATTACCTTACTATGACATGGTGCTAGGTATGAATTGGTTGGAGAGATTTAGTCCTATGTGGATCCACTGGGAGAGAAAATTGTTGCGGTTCACTTATGCTGGGCAGAGAATTAGTCTCAAAGGAGTCAAGGACCAACTGTCTACCTGTCACAAGCTCAAGGCAAGGAAACTGAGAGGTCTACTCAGAAAAGGGGGAGTGGCTCAAATGATACATCTCTGTCAAAACCAACCCACCCAACCCACCCAATCCATTCCACCATCCATCCAAAACCTTGTTGACAGCCATGCCCACCTTTTCAAAGAACCTGATTCCCTTCCACCACCCAGAGAGTTTGATCACCACATCCCATTGATCCCTGGTGTCAAACCTGTCAACATCAAGCCTTATAGATATTCACCTTCCCAGAAAGATGAAATTGAGTGCCAAATCCAGGAAATGCTAACCAATAGCATTATCAAGCCCAGCCATAGCCCCTTTGCCTCCCCAGTTCTTTTGGTAAAGAAGAAAGATGGCTGCTGGCGTTTCTGTGTGGATTACCGATAGCTGAACAATATCACTGTCAAGGACAAGTACCCCCTGCCAGTTGTTGATGAACTCTTGGATGAACTCAATGGAGCAGCCTGGTTCACAAAACTGGATATGCGCTCTGGCTACCATCAAATCAGACTACAACCAGCTGATGAAGAGAAAATAGCCTTTAAAGCACATAGTGGGCATTGGGAATTTCGGGTGATGCCCTTCGGGCTCACCAATGCCCCGGCAACATTCCAAGCCCTAATGAACACAATTTTCAAGCCCCTGCTCTGCAAGTGTGTGCTGGTATTTGTGGATGACATCTTGATCTACAGTCCAACGCTAGATGCCCATTTGCACCATTTGCAAGAGGTTTTTCAGATCCTTCAGCAGCATCAGTTCTTCCTCAAGCGCTCTAAGTGTTCATTTGCCCAACAGACTTTGGAGTACTTGGGACACATCATCAGTGCCGAGGGAGTCGCCACAGACCCTAAGAAGATTGAAGCTGTGGCCAATTGGCCCACTCCAACAGATCTCAGACAGTTGAGGGGTTTCCTTGGATTATCTGGCTATTACCGCAAATTCATCAAGAATTATGGACTCGTCAGTTGACCATTAACTGACCTCATCAAGGAGGATGTTCTCTTTCACTGGACCCCCCAACTGCAAATGAGTTTTGAGGCTCTCAAACGGGCTTTGATCTCAGCCCCTGTTCTGGTCCTACCAGATTTCAGCAAGCCATTCACCATTGAGACAGATGCATCCTCCACAGGAGTTGGTGCTGTGCTTTCCCAGGACAACCACCCTGTGGCTTACATTAGCAAGGCACTTGGACCCAAAACTCAAGCATTATCTACATATGAAAAAGAATGCATGGCACTCATCTGGGCAGTTACCAAATGGAAATCCTATCTGCAACATCAGGAGTTTAATATAGTCACTGATCATAAAAGCCTGATCCATTTGGGAGAACAAAAGTTACAAGAAGGGATGCAGCACAAAGCCTTTCTCAAGCTTCTAGGCCTACAGTACAAGATAGTGTACAAGAAAGGGTTGGAAAACAAGGCTGCTGATGCTCTATCTCGGCAAGCTGAACCTAGTACAGTGTCAGCCATCTCTACCAGTACACCCAGGTGGCTAGAGATCATAGTGGAAGGATATACCAAGGATGATCAAACCAAGCAACTGTTCACAGAACTCAGCATCACTGGTCCAATGATAAAGGCTTCACCTTATCTGATGGTCTCATCAAGTATAAAAACAGAATTTGGCTAGGCAATCACAAAGAAGCCCACCAGACAGTGTTACTGGCCCTTCACTCAAGTGGTCTGGGAGGACACAGTGGCATTACTGCAACTTATCACAAGGTGCGCGCCCTGTTTGCCTGGCCCAATTTGAAGCAGTCTGTCATTGACTATATCAACGCTTGCGAGGTATGTGCCCAGGCTAAACCTGAACATTATCGTTTGCCCGGTTTATTGCAACCACTACTTGTTCCCCAACATGCTTGGCATACTATCAGCCTTGATTTTATTGAAGGTCTACCCAAGTCCAAGCAATTTGACACTATTTTGGTCATTGTCGACAAACTAACCAAATATGCTCACTTCATATGCCTCAGCCATCCTTACACTGCCCTGTTAGTGGCTCAAACCTTCATTTCCAATGTCTACAAATTGCACGGCATGCCTTCTGTCATCATCTCTGATAGAGATCGCCTATTCACTAGTACCCTATGGCAAGAGCTTTTCAAACTAATTGACACCACACTCAACATGAGCTCGGCCTATCATCCACAGACCGACGGTCAAACGGAACGCTTAAACCAGTGTCTAGAAACCTATCTTCGTTGTATGGTTCACTCCTGTCCTCACAAGTGGGCTCAGTGGGTTCCCTTAGCCGAGTTTTGGTATAATACCACCTACCACTCGGCCCATGGTCATACCCCCTTTGAGGCCTTATACGGCTATCTACCCAAGCACTTCGGCATTACCCTTACTGATGCCTGCTCAGTTCCTGATCTGGAGGCTTGGCTCCAGTCCCGTAATATCATGTTGCAGCATATCCAGCACAATCTGGCTCGCGCTCAACAGCGCATGAAACATCAAGCTGATAAGAATCGCCAGGAACGGACCTTCGCTGTGGGTGATTGGGTTGGGTCTATGTCAAGCTGCAACCACACATATAACAATCTGTTGCCCGTCGTACCAACCAAAAGCTCAGCTACAAGTACTTCGGACCATATCTGGTGCTCCAAACCGTCGGTAAAGTAGCATACAAGCTTCAGTTACCTGTCAATAGTCAAAGTCATCCTATTTTGCATGTCTCACAGCTCAAGAAGGCTTTACCTCCGAACACCAATCTGTCTACTGTTGATGAGCTTCAGCTTCTCTACATGCTGGAAGGTCTTCCCCCATCCCAGGTACTGGATCAGCGGCTTCATCTGGTGGGTCACCGGGTGGTACCGGTTGCTTTGTTGTAGCGTGAATCCTGTCCAGTGCATTGGGCTACCTGGGAGCATGCTACGGATGTACCATCCTCGCTGCTGCAGCCAGCTGCTTCTGCATCGCGAGGGCGCGCTGCTGCTTAAGGAGGGGGAGATGTCACGACCAGGCCTCCGGCTGCTCTTCGACGATTGGGCCGCACTAGCTGAAATGGCCTGTAAGCCGGCCTGCGAGCCGCGTGGATGTATTGTTTGGGCTTGGCCCGTTTTTACCGTAAGACTGAACATATACTCGCTGTGTGGGAGGATGGGAGGTCAGCGAATAACAAAAAACTAATTCCCGAATCCTCTTTCTCCTTTGTTGCTTGCTCGAGGCGGCGCCTTCGCCGTGCTCCCAGCCGCGCGTGCACGCCGGCGAATCCTTCTATCTGGTTAGGGTCGTGACATAGCTGCTGCTCTTTGCTGTCTTCAAAAGACAACGTCCCCAATGAAGGTGGGAAGTAGGGCTTCACATTCAATTTTGGGCAGCCTGTTACGCATAGCTCAGACAGGACAGGGAAACAGCATTGTGCTCCAAATTCTTCCTCCTGAATTTCAAAACCACTTGTCGTAGTCCGCAGCTCCTCTAAATTAGCCATTCTGAGCAGGTTCAGGGACTTCAGCGAACCAAACACCAAAAGTCCTCGGATATACTTCAAGTTTGGAAATCCTTCTAGTGTCATGTTTGTTAGAGAAAGGAACTGGCATAGGCTGGTGTGCTTTATCATTTTACCTGCACAACAAGAAGAATCATTTTGATTCATCATCCAATGCGGCAAACAGGGGCCTCTGTAACCGCAGATTTTCAAGTAATTAATTTGCGATGGCGGTTCAAGAGCATTAAGCACACCCTGGTCTTGTTCCACATCTGATCCTAACTCTTCCTCGGTTTGACTTGAAGACCAACCCAACTCCAAACTCCATATATTCTTCTGCTTCAACATGGCCTTTTCTGCCTCACTTGGATCCTTTAGGTCTTTAAGGTTGCTAATTTCCACATGACCACCTATCATATCAAGATTTTCAAGCTCTGAGATCCTTGCATCATCTCACCACACCCAACAGCAAACCGGCCTATATGTCTTAGACGAGTCAGCTGTCTAAACCCTGATGGCATGCATTGTAGTTTGCTGCAACCTGCTAGATTCAAATCCTCAAGATTTTTTAAGTTAGTTATACCTTTAGGCAACTCCACCAGCTCCTTGCAATTATGAAGGTCTATATGCTCTAGAGTACCAATTGAAGCAACCCATTGGGGTAGCACAGTTATTTTGGTTTCAGATAGGTCAAGAGTATGCAGGATACGACAGGCAAATGTGTTTGGTAGATCTTGGAGAACCCGACAACCATGTAAGCTGACTGTCTGTAAGTTGCTTAACTCCCCATTGAAATCTAACAATAGTTGTTGCAAAGATGAACATCCAATTATATGAATCACCCTTAGGTTTCCCAATCTGCCCACAGAGCTTGGTATCTCTCTGAGCTATTCACAATAATTTAGTTGCAAGGACTGAAGATCTCGGCAGTTACCAATGGACTGAGGCAAAGTCTTGAGATCAGTAATAATATTGCACTCTAGAGTTTGTAGCTTCTTAAGTTTGCCAATAGACTCAGGTAATGTCACAAAACCTTTGCAACTAATAAGATGAAGTGACAGCAAGTTCCAACAGACAGAGATAGCTTCTGGAAGTTTTGGGCAGCTAACATGATGTATTTCAAGATATGCAAGATGTTCTAACTTCAATACAAATAATGGAAACGGAGTATCAACTGCATAGTCTAGAACAACACTGCGGACATAGAAACTCTTCTTAACAAGATTATCAAATGATGGGTTACCTCCAGAGACATATACAGCACGGACCTTGTAAAATAGAGCCCTTTCAACCTTCCCACTGCAAGATGTCAAAGATAAATATCTGCAATTTTGTGAACAATCTGTAGTCTTCTTTGGTAGAGACGTCGCCACTTCATTCCGTAAAATATACTGAGTAAGATCATGAATTAGATCATGCATCTTGCAAGATACACTTCTTTGTGGAAAAGTTTCAACTGGATCATGAAGAAAACTAGCTCTCATAAGGGAATCAAAGTATTCATTTCCAATATCATGTGCTAGCTCTTCCTTCTTCAACTTGATGAATCCATGGGCCATCCATTGTTCAATCAAGTAGTCTTTGTTGATTTCACAACCTTTACGGAATATAGAGCAAAATGTAAAGCACTGCTTCAGATGATCTTTCAAGTAAATATAGCTTAGTTTCAAGGATGTGAACACACGAGCTTCTATATTCTCTTCATCCCATAAATTACTCTCTCTTATGGCCCTCCAAGTATTTATCCCCCTTCTTTCCCGGAGTACAGATCCGAGAGTTTTTATTGCTAGTGGCAACCCACCACACTTCTTGACGATATATTTTCCTACTGGAATAAAAGCATAGCCCAAATCTTCCTCTACCCAACCACAAGTGTTTAGAAAGAAGCTCCAGCTCTCATCCACTGATAAGAATGTCAATTTGAATATAGCCTTAGATTCCACTGCTTTCGCAACACTTTGATTACGGGTAGTTAGAAGAATCTTGCTTCCCGGTGCACCATTGTCTAAGAGCACCATGAAATTTTCCCAGTCATGCCTGTCCTCATGCCAAGCATCATCCATAACAAGAAGAAACTTATTACCACTCAATTTGTTTGAAATCACACGGAGCATGTGTTGTTGAGCGTGATGATCTGACTTCTGCCCAATGATAGCTTCAAATAGCTTGCCTATAAGTTTGTCCCTGCAAAATTCTTGCGACACATGGATCCAGAATATTGTATCTTTGAAGTGCCCTTTTATCTTGTCATCATGCCAGATGTGTTGGGCCAACGTAGTTTTGCCAGATCCACCAAGCCCAACAATAGAAACTATACGACCAGCTTCTCCTTTTTTAGATTCCACAAGCTCTAATATGATTTCACTCTTCACATGATCCCTTGATGGTATTTTTGACTCTTTATTATTACTCATTAAGGACGGCTCCCTAGTTATCTTATTTTTGCATTGTATTAGTTGATCCAAATGTAAATTATGTAGTATAGTATTGGCATCACTTTTTTGCTTCACAATTGCATCAAATTCCACCTTGATTGCTTTGATTTTATGGGCCACCTTCCGTCGAAACAGAAGCAACTTTGGTTTCCCACAAAACCAGACAGCTATAGCATGCTTGCCATGGTCTCTATCTATCCTGTATTTTTCATCTTCAAGGTATACTTCATCAAGTAAATCATAGATGTCATTAAGAAGATTTCTCAATTTTATCAACCATAGAAGCGATGGGTCACTCTCTATTGCTCTGTCATGAAGCAAAGACAGCCAACTCATAATCTCTGCGTGTACACCCTGGAGCTCAGAGAGATCTTTTTTCACACCAGTTATGGCAGCAAACTCACTTGATACCAGTGAAACTAGCTTGTTTCCTACAACCTTTGACAGTCCAGATGCTAAAGCAGCCTCCATTCCACTCATATTTGAAAGGCTCTATTGCATGACAAAGCCCTGTGAATGAAAATGCAAAGCTAACGGTTATATCAAGTTTTGCAATTCAAAACTAATATAATATATGGCGGGCATGCAAATATAGCAACATTAATTTTCATCTCTGTAATCAAACAATGGATGATAAAAGATCTGAAATTTTTGAATTAGCCTGAGCTGTCTGGATGTTCTATTCTTTTTTACGTCCCAACTCAGTTGGGGAAACTAAAAATAATAGTTTGATGTTGGTGTTTGCTCTGTTTGGTGGTCCCTGAAATCAAATGAGACTGCATGGAATTAGTGAATTGATTGATTGAGAGACCAGGTGTCCAATCAAGATCTTGTGGTTTATAGAAACAGCACCAATCAAGATCTCCTCAAATCTCTCTAACTAAAAACAACACAAGGCCGGCCGGCGGTTATCGCCTAGCTCTAGACCCACACACGCATAGCACATATAAACTGTCTAACACGCCCCCACGTCAAAGCGTTAGTATAACGGACGTTTAGACTTGACCAGAACTCCGTGAAGACTGACGAATGCAGCCCCTTGGCGAAGATGTCGGCAAACTGAGATGTCGTAGGGACACAGAGGACACGAACATCACCAATTGCAACACACTCCGAACAAAGTGTAGATCGATCTCCACATATTTGGTGCGCTAATGCTGCATGGGGTTCGAAGACATGTAGACTATGCTAATGTTGCCACAATACCCAAGGTTGTATTTGCAAAGGAGTGTGCAGCTCAGAAAACAGTTGGTGTAACTAGGTGGCTTCTGCGATGGTGTTTGCAATAGCTCAGTGCTCAGCCTCGACACTAGAACGAGAGATGGTGTTCTGACGCTTGGACGACCAAGAGACCATGTTTTCACCAAGAAACACTCCATAACCGAAGGTTGACTTGCGCATATCGGGACACCTAGCCCAGTCAGCATCAAAGTAGACTACCAAGTCGGACTGAGAGCAGGGGCACAAGAACAAACACAAAGAAGACTACCAAGTTGTGGACTGAGAGCAGGGGTGTAGGAACAAACCCAGAGAAGACTACCAAGTCGGATTGAGAGTCGGGGCGTAGGAACAAACCCATCTCCAGAGTGCCAGGGACGTAGCGTCAGAATGTGCTTGAAGGTGCAAAATGTGGCTCCCGGGGATCATGCATGTGAAGGCAGACTTGCTGAACTACATAATAGATGTTAGGCCTGGTGAAGGTCAGATACTAAAGAGCACCTGCAAGACTACAGAAATCCGTAGGATCAGACACAAGGTCGCCATCGGCTGAGAGCTTCAGATTTACATCAATAGGCGTCGAGCATGGCTTGTAGTCAGCCATTTCGGCACGCTCTAGGATCTCAGTCATATTATGCCACTGAGAGAGGAGGAGACCCGAGCTCATGTGCTGAACATGCATACCCAGGAAATTGTGAAGGACGCCAAGATCCTTCATTTGGAACTCTTGCTGAAGGGCACCAATAGTTCACTAGAGCACAGGGGTGGAGGAAGCTATCAACACAATGTCATCAACATAGAGCAGGAGGTAGACAGTGTTTGCTCCACAACGATAGATGGGAGGCAAATCTGTTGTGCCAAGCCCGAGGTGTCTGCTTAAGTCCATAAAGAGAACGATTAAGTTGGAACACATAATCAGGATGAGTAGAATCTTCAAATTTGGAGGGCTGAGTGCTGTAAATTGTCTCCGACAAAGTATCATGCATGAAGGCATTATCGACATCAAGCTGATGAATAGGCCATGAGCATGAGAGAGCCAAAGAGAGAACACTCTATACAGTAGTAGGCTTGATGACAGGACTAAATGTCTCTGCAAAATCAACACCGGGATGCTGGGTGAATCCGCAATGAACCCAACGTGCCTTGTATCACTCAAAGGACCCATCAGCTTTGAATTTGTGTTTGAACACCCATTTTCCTGTCACCACATTGGACCGAGGTGGTCGAGGAAGAAGGTCCCACATGTGATTGGACAACAGAGCGAAGAACTCAGCTTGCATAGCAGCTCGCCAATTTGGATCGATGAGGGCAGCACGGTAAGTCCTGGGAACTGGAGACAGGGGCATAGCCTGGAAAAGTGTTGGCTGACGAAAACCGTGCTTCCCACGGGTGACCATGGCATGTTGGTTCGCCATGGGCGACACGGATATAGCACCAGCAGGGAGGGGCAGGCTGGTACTGTGGCACGCACCATGTCACTGGGGGCGACACCATGGGCGCCATGGGGGGCAACGCCGTGAGCGCTACGAGGGGTGACACCATGGGCGCCTGGACCGGTGCCGTGGGAGGACGTCGGGCATAGACAGTGCCAAAGCATCAAGGAGGCTGCAGAGTGGCTACCAGCTACTGCCTAGAAGGGCTAGCGCCAGACCCACCGGAGGCCTAGGATGCCACCCGGGCACTTAGGCTGCTCGCAGTTGGTGCCGTGGTGGAAAGCGAGCGTGGCCCAAAAGGTGGCCCACCCACCGAGCGCAGGCATGGAGCAGGGAGCCAACGTGGCTGCAACCTGACCGCCAGGGCCGCAAGGGGTGGGTAGTCCGGGGTGCCGGGGGCCGCACGTGGCTGTGTTGCGGCGCTAGTTGCCGCACGTGGCTATGCGGGGGGAGCTGTTCCTGCAGGCAATAAACATGATGATGGCAGAGAGATGATGATGCGATTTGTGTGACAATCAATGTAGAGATAGCCCTTGTGGTGAAGGGATAGCCAAGGAAGACACAAGGCAGAGTAAGGAGCAAGTTGATGGGTGGCGGTGGCAGAGAGATTGGTATAGCACTTGGAACCAAAAACGCGGAGGTGCTCATTGGATGGCTGAGTCCCAAAGAGGGAGAAGTGAGGTGTAGAAAAAATTCAGTGTTTTGGTGGGAAGAATGTTCAGGAGATAGGTGGCAGTGCTAATAGCCGGGGCCCAAAACTGAGGAGGAATGTTGGCCTGGAATAGAAGTGAGTGAATGACATTATTTGTGGTGCGGGTAACACATTTAGCTTTACCGTTCTACGGCGAGGTGTAGGGGCAAGACATGTGTAGTGTATCCCATGGGAGAGGAAGAACATATGGGTGTTTGAGTTGCCAAATTTGTAGCCGTTGTTGCATTGAACCCCCTGAATGGTGACATCAAACTAGGTGTGAACATAAGCGAAAAAGTTAGAAAGAGTGGAGAAAGTGTCAGACTTGAGATGCACAAAGGAAACGTCCAGAGATAATGCGAGCAGTCATCAAGAATAACCAAATAATACTTATGACCTGAGACACTAGTAATGGGGGAGGTCCAAAGATCAAAATGTATTAACTGAAAATTATGAGTGGCACGAGATGACAACGCATGAAAAGGAAGACGTGTATGACGCCCAAGCTGACACGCATGACAAAGAGTGTCACAAGCACTTTATTACAAGGAAAATCAAAACATTGTGCTAGCTTAGATAGGACTCCATGACCAGGATGGCTGAGACGCTGATGCTAAACAGAGGAGGTGGTGGCGGCATGGAAGGCGGATCGCTAGAAACTGGAACAGGTAGAGGGGACCGGAGCTGTCACACTTGGCGATCTCTCTCCGAGAGGGAAGAGCCTTCAAAAAACAGTCAAAAGAGTCCAATTCCACAGACCAATTATTGTCGGAAGTTAACTAGCATACATAAATGAGATTCTTAATATTCTAGGAAACAAGAACATTATTAAGATGAAGGTTGTGAGGTAAATGAGCGATGCCAGTGGTGGTAACAGGAAGTAAATGCCTGTTGTTGACAATAATGTGAGGTGGACAAGAAGGGGTGGGAGTGAGTATACCAGCGTAGGCAGTCATATGATGTGTGGCGCCGGAGTCAAAATACCACTCATTGTTGGGCAGCGATTGGAGAGACATGGTTTGTAAGTTGGCAGCAAGTGTCTGCTGATCCTAGCCAGGTGGCCCATAGCCGCTGGGGAGGCATGCCCCACTAGCCAGCCCACTGCTCCTGGGCCAACAAGAAGGGCATGCGGATGCTGGGGTGACACATGTGCCATTAGGGCCCTTGGTGCAGGTCACATTTGAATGGTCCCGAACTAGGGGTTGTAGCTGGGCCATGGAGCCCCGGGGTACGGTGTAGTCACGCCCGCGGAGTGAAAATTGCCGCTGGGATGGGGGGAGCCGCTGCAGTCGCCCTTGCCACTGCGCTTGTCATGCTTGGAGTGCCACCTCTAGAGCAAGTGGCCGCCTGCTACTAGGGTTTCTTGGGAGGCGGTGCAGCTAGAGCGGATGGAGTAGCAGAGGAGGGCGCGGGTGCACCACATGGCCTATGGTCGTGGCGAGCGCCACGGCGAGATCCTTCTTTGCCATAGTTAGCTGCACGAGCTGGAGGTCATCCCGCACCTGGAGGAAGGTGGGGAGGGGTTGCGGCGCTGGAGACGAAGGCCGAGGGCGTGAAGTGCTCGTTGAGGATGCGAATGATGTTGAGGACGAGCATACGGTCGAAGATGGGCTCGCCGAGGTCATGGAGGTCCTCCGCCATGCTCTTGTAGCACCGGCAGTACTCGGAGACCGAGAGGTTGCCTTGGGAGACGGAGTGGAATGCCTGGTCGGTGAAGAGCATGCGTGTCGCGAGGTTCCCAAGGAACTAGGATTTGATGGTGAGCCAAGTGCGTGGACAGTGGCGCCATGCTTGGAGACGGTGTCGGTGGGGTCGTAGGTTGTTGGAGATGGTGCTGAGGAGCCATGTCCAACAATGCAGTTCATGCGCAACCAATTGGGAGAGTGGGCGCGGTGACATTGGAAAGGACGTGTTGGTGTAGGGAAAGCTTGCCGATCGTGAGGAGGAAGGACTCATGCCATCTTGCGAAGAAGGCGGAGTTGAGGTCAAGGACGAGGGGCATGAAGGCATGGATATTCAGCATGGCAACCGCTTGCGCGTGTAGATTGAAGAGCGTAGCAACCTCGTGTTGAAGAAGTGCCTTGAAGAGATGGGGTTCAGCTGTGTTGGTGAGGACGTCGTTGGTGGCGACAGCGTCATCCTAGGGTGGCTTGGCCACCACACGCTCGTGATCAGCGCAGTCGAGAGCGATCGGAAGACGTTCGTCCGCCGCATCGTGCTCCAGTTGGGTGAGGGCATCTTCGCGCTCGGTGTCCTAGGCACAAGTGAGGGCGGTGTTCCGGGCGAGTTGGGCTGCGCGCTCGCTGGCCTCTTTGGCGGTGAGGTCGTCCTCCTCGCGCTCGAGGTCAGTAGCAGCGGCAGCAGTATCGTTGGTGGAAGGGCTGGCGGTGAGGTCGTCCTCCTCGCGCTTGAGGTCAGCAGCAGCGGCATCAGCATCGTTGGCGGAAGGGCTGTCGACATCGACTGCGGTGTTAGCGGGAGGTGCGCCGGGGAAGGGGTGCTCAATAGAGCAGTAGCGCCGGGGAAGAGGTGCACGCTAGAGCAAAAGAGAATCTGGTGATTAATCTAGACTCATGAAACCATGAAAGCAAATGAGAATGCATGGAATTGGTGGATTGATTGCTTGAGAGACCAGGTGTACATATATATAGGGGGAGGAGATCTTGTAATTTATAGAAACAGCACCAATCAAGATCTCCTCAAATCTCTCTAACAAAAACAGCACAGGGCCGGCTAGCGGTTATCGCCTAGCACTGGACCCACACAAGCATAGCACATATAACTGTCTAACAGACCCTCTAGATTATAACCCTCTAGATTATACAGAATTACTGATCCATGCCACATGATTGATGCAGGGATGGAAGATTAGTCAGCATGAGCAACAGAAGTATGATACTTGTATGTGCTGTGTCTTGAGTACTTGGTGGCACTCATTAAGAAACGAGAAAAAAGAACTGAACATGATTAATAAGTACGTATTTAACATGGGAAGAAAATATATGTGCAGGAGGAATAAGAGCACGTACCTAGAATTCAAGCTCCGATCAGCTACCTTGTCCAATCCCACTTATTCCCAAACAAGTCGCTGGGCTCCGATCGTGCCCTGTGCTGTTGAAACTAGGGAACTTTTGGGGCTCAGGCTGCAAGAGTTGGAGAAGGCAGGAGGTGCAGCTTAGCTCGAGTTCAAATCTTCCTGATTACTTCTTCTTGCTTATAACACCAATAAATGTAGTGGCAGATATTTTCTCTGCATTAATAGCGTGAATGAGACATGCAACAACTAACAACCCTTGGAGACTGCAAGGAAGGTGAAAGGGAAGGCAACATGAAACTTCCCTGCCAGCCAAAATTCAAACCATTAGCATCAGAAGGGACCCAAAAGTTGGCCCCAGTGCCCCACACTACAGCGCGCAACACACATTAGAAACTGGACCCAACACGATGGACATTTGCAAATTGGATAGCTGGCAGCAACGTGAACTCTACTCTCCTCATTTTAAATTTTAGGTCACTTTAGATATGTCCTACCTCAAAATTCCATAATTTTTACCAAGATTCTAGAAAAATATATTAACATCTATAAGTTCAAATAAATGTAGTATCAATCAGTCAGCAGAACTGGTGGCCATCGGCATTCAGTTCACCAGCTGCTGCAACCTCCTTTATGTGTGTAATGTTATGGCTGTTTTGAGTCGTCTAATTGCCTCTCCCGGCCTGACTCTTCCCTAGAAAGCTCTCCAGCAGCTGTTTTTGGGTGAAAATGTAGTCTCCAATGTCACAACGTAACTGCAACATATTATGCTGGAATGTGCCAGGCCTTAATGATGTGGTGTGACAAGATGCGATGAGTCTGCTAGTTAGGGACACAGCCTCCACCATTGTATGTCTACAGGAGACGAAATTACAGAATGTGGACCAAGGCATAGTCCGACGTTCAATAGGCACAAAATTCACGAACAACTTTATGGTCCTGCCAGCTAATCAAACAAGGGGCGGCATCCTCCTAGCAACAAACGAGGATTATTTCCACCTCTCCAACCAACACTTAGCCACGCATTCGGTGACAGCAGCTTGCACCATGAGGGCAGACCGGACCAAATGGCAAATTACAGTGGCTTACGGTCCGCAGGGTGATGCTGAGAAGCTACAATTCCTGCAAGAGATCAAAGCAATCCCCAGACCGGCTCACGGGAGGTGGCTAATTCTTGGTGACTTTAACTTCATCTACCAGGCGGAGGATAAGAACAACATAAACCTGAACCGTCGTCTAATGGGAGCTTTCAAAGCGGCGATCGATAAGAACAACATAAACCTGAACCGTCGTCTAATGGGAGCTTTCAAAGCGGCGATCGATGAGCTGAACCTTAAAGAGCAACGACTAAATGGATGCCGTTTCACCTAGAGTAATGAACAGGACAGGCCGACCCTCACTAGGATTGACAGGCTGTTCTGCACCTGGATTGGGAACTAGCTTTCCCAACCTGTTTCCTCCATTCTCTGCCTTCACTCATGCGGACCATACTCCGCTATTGCTGCAAGGCGAACTTGTGCACTACAGAAATCCTTCCTTTCGCTTTGAAAACTTCTGGGTGCACGTGGATGGCTTCAGTGAATTGGTATAGCAGATTTGGAACAGACCTGTACACTCTGCCCTATGCCCTACCCCTCAAGCGGCTTAACACAAAACTGGCCAGAGTGGCCAAAGGTATCAAGAGATGGCGCAGACAAAAAATAGGGGACACACGGTTACAGTTAGCCATCGTCAAAGAGGTGCTTCTACAGCTCGAAGCGGCGCAAGAAATTAGGACACTCACGCCCCAAGAAATTGTGCTTCGGCAGCGATTGAAAGCAAGAAGCACTGGGCTTGCCACCATCGAAAAATCAAGGATAAAGCAACTTGCTAGACTGGCATATATCCACAATGGTGATGCGAACACCAAGTTTTTCCATATCAGAGCCAGCACAGGGATGAGGAAAAATTACATACATTGCCTGCACACCAACGGGGGAGTAGCCATTACTCACAATGACAAACAAAAGGTGATAGAAGATTATTTCTCGGACCACCTAGGTGCAATGGCTCAAAGACCTAGGACCTTCGACTGGAATGTGCTAGGCTATGTCCCAAGAGACCTGTCCATGCTTGAGGTTCCATTCACTCAAGATGAGATCAAGGAAACTATAAACTCCATGCCGTTCGATAAAGCACCGGGACCTGATGGCTTCACAGGTGGCTTCTTCAAAAAATGTTGGGAAATAATCAAGGAAGACGTCACGGAAGCCATGAACAGCATGTTCATGCTAAACCCCTAGGGCTTCGAACTCCTTAATTCGACAATATTATCTTGCTTCCAAGAAAAGCGGATGCCATGCGGGTAGCGGACTTCCAGCCGATTAGTCTCATTCATAGCATTGCAAAGCTGTTCGCCAAGTTGCTTGCCAACAGGCTGACCCCCTTGTTAGACTCCTTGGTCTCCAAATGCCAAAGTGTGTTCATCAAAAAAGGATCATCCACGACAACTTCCTCTACGTCTAGAACACAGTGCGGACTATGCAAAAGCAAAAATTGCCGGCCCTCTTCCTCAAGTTAGACATACATAAAGCTTTCGACATGGTCAGTTGGAGCTGTCTTCTCAAGGTACTTCAGGCGCTCGGTTTTGGAGCACGCTGGCAGGAATGGATGTCAATCCTTTTCCGCACCACTTCCTCAAGGGAGCTCCTAAATGGATAGCCAGGCATTGCCTTCAATCATAGGAGTGGGGTGAGACATGGAGACCCAATATCGCCCATGCTGTTCATCCTCGCCATGGATCTGCTGCAGCGCATACTGGATTTGGCAACACAGCATTCCATCCTCTCCAAATTGCCTTTGGCCGCGGCAAGATGGAGAACTTCCATGTATGCTGACGACACTGGAATATTTATTAACCCCCTCAAAGAGGACCTGGAAGCCATCACGACCATACTGCAAAAATTTGGCAAAGTTTCAGGTCTTCACATAAATTTGCAGAAGTGCTCGTCCCACCCAATCAGGTGCCAAGACATTGACCTTGATCATGTTCTAGCTTCCTTCGTAGGGAGAAGAGAATCTTTTCCATGCCGCTACTTGGGCCTGCAGCTACACATGAGATCACTGCAAAAGATCCACGTACAACCCCTCATCGAGCACATTGGTCAGCGACTACCGGGATGGAAGGGGAAGATGCTCCACAGAGCAGGTAGGTTAACCTTAGTAACCACGGTCTTATCTTCCATGCCTACCTATCACCTCACGGTCTTCCTACTAGCCATCTGGGCTAGGAAGAAGATTGATAAAATCATAAGATCCTTCCTGTGGAAAGGAGAAGAGAACACCAACGGGGGTTACTGTTTAGTGAATTGGCCGACCGTCTATACGCCGAAGGATCTAGGTGGATTTGGAGTGCCCGACCTGGAAAGGTTTGGAAGAGCTTTGCACTTAAGATGGCTTCGGCAAGAATGAGGAGATGATCCAAAACCTTGGGTGGGACGGAAGTGCCATGCAAAGACACAGATCGTCTCCTTTTCAATGCTTCCACCACGGTCACAATTGGCAATGGCAACAAAGCACGCTTCTGTCACCACAGTTGGCTAGACGGGGAGGCACCCAGATATCTCGCGCCGCACCCAGGGGCGGATTCACGGCCCGGGCTGGGGGGGCTGCAGCCCGGGGCGGCGCTAAAAAATACAAGGAACAGGTCTTCAGAGAGCAGCCCAAAACAGCCCGTTAGCCCCCCTCCGTAGCCTCCGGATCTGTATTATTAGTGTATGGCTGGTATGATTTTTAGTCCTATGTTATTTAGCCCCCCTCGTTACTCGTTTCTGGATCCGCCACTGGCCGCACCTATTCATGCTGGCACGTTGTAAGAACAGATCGGTCCGTCAGGAACTAAGCAATGGTAACTAGATCAGATCGCTACGGCCAAGAATCACATCAGCAGTACTACTCCAGGAGTTCGTCACCCTATGGATCAGAATCCAAAGTGTTCAGCTGCAGCACGCGGTCCCTGCCTCCATTACTTGGAAGTGGACAGCTAACGGAGTGTACTCCACTCGCTCGGCATAGTGCAGTTCAGAGGTTCGCATCGAAAATTCCAACATGACCTCATTTGGAAATAAAAAGCGGAGAATAAATGCAAAGTTGACGCCTAGATCCTACTGCATGATAAAATCCTAACAGCAGATAGTCTTTAGAAAAGGGGATGGCCACACTAGGATCATTGTGCCCTTTATAACGGTCCTCCAGAGACTGGACTACACCTCTCATTGTCATGCCCCTTTGCACGTGCTGTTTGGGATCAAGTGCTGTCTTGGGAGAATTTTGCTTTGCAGTTGCCTCAGCAAGACCCTGCCACACTTGCCACCTGGTGGGAGCATACGGCAAACAAGGTGCCAAAACAAGAACGCATACGCTTCAATGGAGTTTGCATATACATCGTGTCGAACCTTTGGAAGGAAAGAAATAAGAGGATCTTTCACAACGTGCACATGACGGTGCAACAAGTTGCCTCCATGACCAAAGAGGACATAATGCATAGACATAGGGCCACGGCAATGGGTGGGCAAACAATTTAGTGGAGTTTGGAATTTTTTCTACTCTGGTCCTAAGACCACAGCAGTTGCCTTATGTACATAAACCTCTTTTCCTACTTAATTGAGCGACAAAGCTCCTGCCTTTACCTTAAAAAATGTAGTATCAAGGAGAATGTAATTAAAAATTTTATTTTGTAGATGTTGCATTTTTCTATGGACTTAGTTAAAGTTAGACATGTTTGATTTAGAATAAAGCTAAAATTGAGTAATAAGTTCAGTAAATTAAGGTGGCAATGGGCAACTCAATCCCGATCAGTGATTCGGTAAACCGAAAAGGGATACATGTAGCAATAGATCAAAACCTGGGTACACCACTAGGGCTCATAGAAAACACTCCCCCTTCTCACATACTCTTTTCTATGCTAATGCGTCATAGTCATTAGAGACTACTCAACACAGAGTGGAAATGTAGAGAGAGAGGGTACAACAGATGGCCGGGTCATCGAGCAAAGCTGGCCTGGTGGTGGCAAGATGGAGAACAAAGGCCGACTTGGTAGGAAAAAAGGGGCGAAGCTAACGAGGCAGTCCCTTCATAGGAGTCCCAGGGCGTCGGGCTCCGAGCACGGATCAGACAAATTGCAATGCAAGAGGGAGCAGTGAGGCAAAGATGGCATGGGTCGGTAGCAATCTCACATCGTGGAGTAGCATGAGGGAGTCGCACGATGAGGCTACAGGCTACATCGGATGGTCGACCACGGTGGAGGAAGCCGCCAACTTAGGTGTGCCAGAGCGCATGGTCGGTAGCGGCCTGGTCTGTCCGCCAACACGGTGGCATGGGGATGAGACAGAGTCCAGCAGCCATGATATGGAAGGTGTAGAACGGTGGAGGGGAATGGCGAGAGGATGACACAAGGATGAAGGCGATCTGCTACTATAACCCATGCTAGAACGACGACGAGAGCAGCTGATCAATAGGGTATGCTTCCTTCTAGCGGATATCGATCTCCCTAGGGCACACAGTGCAGAAGCGGTTTCATGTGACCTACATCAGAATTTGTACTCATGATACCACGTAAGAGGAATATAATTGATTGAATTAGATTGGACGCTTCGAATTGGGCCTCTTGGGTAGCCTATTTAGAGTTAATAAGACTTGAGAATAAGTCAGTACATGGGATCTTTGAAAGTGCATCTAGCCTCTAAGTGGGTTTTGGTGGATTGAATGACAACACGATTAAGGGACTAATATGTTTCATGAGACTTGCAGATATTCAAAGGTATTTAGTCCTAAGTGTGTTGTATTATATTTGGGCTCAAATATAGCATATGGCATACAAATGAGAAATGAGCCCGAGGCATATCAATCGAAATAAATTGACAAGCTTATATGCATAAATTATAAATGATACATAGAGGTTTGCATATGGAATGGTCTCACTCTTAAAGCTTGATCAATCAAAATGATGAAGACATCAATACAAATAAAATAGATATATTGTGAGCTTAATTGTTGATTCAAAGCAAGATGTGACTTGATGGCTTGAGAAGGTGAAGATAGCAAGGAAAGGCTTCGAGGTACTAAGCAAAGGTGAAGGGCAAGCGTCGACTTGGCGTCCGAAGAACCTATCTAGGGTGAAGAAGAAAGTAATTGCATTTAGTCGAGGTACTAATCAAGCTTTGAAGGTCATGTTGATTTGAAGGATTAAATAATTAGAAAGAGTGACTTTGGTTGATATATGGAATCTTGATCAAATGGTTTGATTAACTCAAAGTCACAGCTCAAGGAAACTCACTCAATACATGGATGGTGTTGGAAGCCCTCAAATGATCAAAATTGTGGAAGCGGCATTT